TTACACTTGATTTATAATTTTTGTTACATATTTCAAATCTGACCACCCTAACCATAAATTTCTGGTTCCGCCCTGGGGAGTAGATGCGGTTGGTTGTGTCGTATTTAAGCGGTAGTTCGTCGGTGACGATGCCGGTACTCCGATGGGCGAGTGATTGAATAAGGTTAATGGGAGGAATCTTCCCAAATGAACAATAACCTAGCTGGTATAAAATAAGAAGAGGTCGGGGTTTCGAAACTCAATGAAGATATGAATATGAATTTACTTAACCTTTCAAATAAATGGGAGGAATCTTTGCCAACCTACCTTTATGCCGTCGATTTGGTTATACACATCACACGATACAACTTAGTGGGATCATTTTAGTGTATTTAGTTATGAAGATAAGCTTATCTTGATCGGATTTAGCCAAAATGACAAGAATTACCCACTCTTTTATAAAATTTTAAAAACAAAATGGGGGAAAAGTTTATGGTGGTTAGTTTTTCCCATATATATATATTATATAAAGTAGTTGGATTTTTTTTCTAATCTTATTCTTCTCTGGAGCAACCAGTGTTTTTTTTTGGAGGAAAATATATACATAATAATATTTCACCACTTGCTCTGAACATGACTTTTAAACCATCCAAGGAAAAAAAAAAAAAATGATTGAACAAATGGTCATTATATATAATATAGAGTTGTCTGATTGGAAATATTCATTTGTTTTCAATATTTCCAATCAGACAACTCTATATTATATATAATGACCACTTGTTTAATCATTTTTTCTCCTGGATTGTTTAAAAGTCATGTTCAGAGCAAGTGATGATATATATAAAATATAGGGTCTTGTTTAGTTATGCATTAGCAAGTCGTGTTGATTACATATTACATAGGGTCGGGTCAAAGAAATTGCCATCATGATTTACAGAATGCAACTTGTTTATAACAAAATATTATTATGATGCATACATTATTTTATTTATCATGTGGGACAGAAACTTGCGATTTAAATTTTTGTTAGAATTTTGTAATTAGTACAACATTTGGCCTCTGTTACAGCCATATTCTATTGTTCTCTTGTTTGTTCACTCTTGGGTTGCTTGTTTGTACAGTGCTTCTACTCAATATACAGCTTACTATTCACCCAAACAAAATAAGAAACAATTACAGTTGATGGTGGTGATGATATGTGAAACTCCATTATTGAAGAGAGACCCATTGGATCATCGCATAAGAAACTACAAAGGGTCCCGAGAATTACGGGAGGAGGAGGAGAATAAGGATTTTTTTTTTTTTTTGAACCCGCGCCATATCACATAAATTTTAAGCTTTTTCTAATTTGAATTGTACATAATTACATACCTACATGAAATATATCAACTGAAGTGACGAGTAAGATTATATATTTTTTTTTGGAATTTGGGTGACTTAACATATGTGGCAACTAATATTCCTTCTTGTTCGAATTTGAAAAGATACAATATCTTATAGTATTTATTATTATTTTTGTTTCACTAAATTTAAATTATTATATTATTTTCCTTTTACTTTTAAAGCAAGCTTTTCAAAGCTAAGTTAATACCCATGGTACTATAAATCATTTCATTTTAACTTAATTGTATATAAAAAGATTTAAAATTTTCTTGTATTTTGAATTCGTTGGATTGTTTGGATTAATTTAGTAAAACTTTTTCTCAAATCCCCTCAAAATAAGTTTAAACTCTAAAATTTAAACTCAATTCCAATTTCATGATGTCAAATATCTTGCTCACACGGTCACACCAGTATAATTTGTGAGTGGGACTTGAGTTACTCGAGTTAAACCCAACCAAATTTTACATTTTTTTTTTTTGTTTTTTGTTTAGTATTTTTTGTTTTTTTACCTAGACGGGAAACACTTGCACACCCATTTGGATTGCCCCGAATTTTGAACCATGATCTTCTATTTTAAAAAGATAACAAAGTATCATTAAGTCATAATCTTTGATGAGTCCCACTACCACCTAGATTTAGGACAATGACTAAAAATTATCAACTCTTTTATAAGAGTAAAAGTGAGACATTTAAGACAAACACAAAACCAAAAAAGGGCTTACCCTGCTGAGGTTAGTTGATTAAGGTAAGGACGTTGGATTTATTTTTTATTTTTAAAAAAAAAATTACCCATTATTCCTATAGTCCTATTTTTAAACTCCAAAAACAAATAAATCCTATAAAATTCTCAAAAAATAAGGAAGTACTACACTGAAAAATATTTTCAAATATATTTAGATATATTACTAAACTACCACTAGTGCCTTTTTCACTAAAATACAAATTTTCTCTATACTTCTAATACTTTATGATTAAAACATATTTTTTAAATGTTACTAATTTTTATTTACTTAAAAATATATTAATTCTTACCAAAATTAATAAGCCTAAAACATTTAACATATTTCAAATTCACTTTTCGTAAGTACTCGCAACATGTTAAAATAAAATGAGATACTTTTCATGCATTATATTTATGGATAATAGATAAATTATTTGCATTTTGGATTTTATACTTCATATTTTTAAAAAATAATTCAAGAATAAAAAATAAATCACTATAAATTTGAGGCAATGTTATCTAAAAAAGTTATCAAATTATCTTATTATATCAAATATAACGTGAATTTAAAATTATTTTTTTCTTAAATTATTTTTTAAAAATCAAAAGTTAGACTTCTTTGTAGGACTAATTATTTGTTTTTAGAGTACAAAAGTAGGACTTATGTGTAATTTTCACTTCATTTTTTTTTTTCCCTATCTTTTTCCTCTAGAGCACCTTGTTATATATATATATATACACACACACACACACACATAAATAACTTGCTCTGGACAAGACTTTCAAGTTTTCCAGAAAAAATAAATTCAACAAGTCATGCTCATTATATATAAAATATTGGGTCGTGTTTATTTATGTATTAGCAAGTGGTGTTCATAATGTATAATATATATATATTGTTTCTTAGTATGTATAATAAATAGGGGTTGTGTTTATTGATATATTAGCAAGTCTGTGTTCATTAAATTACATATAATATAGGGTGGCGTTTATTTCTTTGCTTGACCGGACTTTTCAGGGGAAAAAAATTTAGTCTTGTAATTATATAAAATATATGGTCGTTTTTTTTTTTATTATTATTATTTAAAATTGTATATTAGAAGTCGCCTACAACTGGCAATAGAACCAAGAAATTGCTAGTATAATTGACAGAATGCAAAGTATTTATACTTTCATATTATTATGTTGTATGGTTGTATATGTCAGAGCAACTCCAATGGTGTGTCAAATGGCGAGTTCGGTGATGTGCAAGGCTGAAAACGATGATGTGATGGCTCGGCCGTGGATGATGGTGATGGCAAGCTCGGCTTTGGATGATGGCGGCCGGCGAGCAAGGAAGGCCAGAGAGAAAAATCCGGCCGATGAAGGCTTGACTGTTCTGTAAATGTATTTTATTTAATGTTTATTTTTATTTTTATTTTTATTTTTATTTTTTTTTTGGGTTTGGCTTTCTAATTAATTGATGGTGATGATTAGTGGTGCGGGGTAAAGGTCCGCTAATGATGAATGAACAGAGAAAATAAATTACCAAATATGGTTGTTGGGGTAGAGATGGTGGCGGTGGTTTGGCGGTGGGGATGGTGGAGGTTGTGGATTTTGGTGTGGTGGTGGCGCCAGAAACTGGTTGTGGTGCTGAGAATAATTTGGTCATTTAAGTATTTTTAATATTTTGTAATTAAAATTAATAAAAATAGTGAAGGATAAAATGGACTTTTCATATGTTTTAAGGTTTGGATGGCAAATTTCACAAGGGGGTGTAGTTGTCCCAAAATAGAAAAACTTTTATTTGGATGTCCTTTTACCAAATCTGAAGGTGTCTTTGTATTTTACCCATGATCTTTTTTACACAATGGTTACTATGTAGCATGGTGGTATATCTTTAGAAAATGAGGTACTAGGACAAATGGGTGCATGAGTTTCTTGTCAAAAAAGAAAAAAATTACTGTGGGAATAAAAAAAAATGTTAAAAAATTGACATAAAACCTCATTAACTATTAGATTTGTTGCAAACTTATATTATATTGACGAAACTACCCCCTAATGTAAATTTAAGAAAGATTTTCATTTTAGGTTCTTTATTCTTTTTTTTACTTTAAAAAAAAATTGTACTTTAAAAATATTTTGAAAATTACACACCATTAAAGTGATGTTATAATGATGAAAATATCCCTTAATATAAATTTAAGAAAATTAGCTTTATTAAAATGATTTTCATTTTAGGTTTTTCTTTTCTTTTTAGTTTTTAAAAATAAAATTTAAGAAAATTTTGAAAAAATGTTTTAAGGCATCTTCGTTTTGTTATAGATACACCATTAAATAAAATATTTTTTAAAAATTTGTATTAAGAGGCATTTTAATTAGTCATTATAACACCACTTTGGGATAGTTAGGGGATGTCAACCTTTCGTTTTTTTTTTTTTTTTTACCTAAAGTTTCTTGCCAAAATTGAAATGTTTTTATGTAATTTGCCTGTAACTTTCCCACGTTATATTTACCCAAAATAATACTTGCTCTGAACAATACTTTAAAGCTATGGATTTGAACAGTTGTGGTCCTAATGCATCTCGTGTTTTTTATTTATTTTATGTAAATATCATGTGGTCCATAATACGGAGCTAGACTTCTCCAAGTCAATAGATCAGAATTAATAATTGTTAAAGTCTACTCAATTTATTTATTTATTTATTTATTATTATTATTATTATTTTTCTAACGTTTCTTGCCAAAATTGAGAAGTTTTTATGTAATTTGACTTTAATTTATCCACATCTCTATATTTACACAAAATTATACTTGCCCTGATTCCTGAATAACACTTTTAAGTTATTGGTGGTAATACATCGTCGTGTTTTTTATTTATTTTATATATGTATATATCATGTGGTTCATAATATGGAGCTAGACTGCTCCAAGTCAATAGATGAGAATTGCAGTCGACTTAGAATGAACTTTCGTTTCCAAATAATGAGTTGTCATACGAGCTACTCAAGTTTTCTTCTTTAAATTTCTGCTACAATATATTCAATCGAGCTGCAACAATTAAGCTCGGAACCATAAATGGCCAAAAGTGATGATGATGGGTTGAGTAGCATTAATTTGGCAGAGGCTGGAAAAGAAGCTGATAATGAGTTGAGCAGAATTAATTCGGCAGAGGTTGGAGAAGAAGCTGGTCGTGAATTGGGTGTTGAAATTACAGCTGATAATGAGTTGAGCAGAATTAATTCGGCAGAGGCTGGAACAGAAGCCGGTCGTGAATTGGGTGTTGAAATTACAGCTGATAATGAGTTGAGCAGAATTAATTCGGCAGCGGCTGGAACAGAAGCTGGTCGTGAATTGGGTGTTGAAATTACAGCTGATAATGAATCCGGTAGTGTTGAGCTCAAAGCTAGTGATAAAGAGTGGATAATATCCATTGTTGGAGAGAGACCCAATGCATCTTCATACAAGCCACTACTACCCAAGGTTCCACGAGAATTACGGGAGAAGGAGCAGAATAAGGGTTTTTTTAATCCTACAGTGGTTTCAATCGGTCCTTATCACCATGGCAAGCCTGAGTTTAAAGAAGCCGAGAAGTTGAAGAACATAGCGGCATCTGGATTCATAGCTAGCAGCAAGGAAGAACCCCATGAAGTCTATAAGAAAATGGTAGTAGTGGTAAGCGATGCTAAGAACTTCTATATTGAGGGCTCAACAGACGCCTATGACGATGTAGCATTCGCTCGTATGATGCTCCTTGATGGTTGTTTTATCCTGTACTTCATATCTGCCTTGCGGGGTGAAGAAGAAATGGGCCTGTTAGATGACCATTTAGGTATTGCTGTTATGCGTGGGATAATTGCGGACATCAGTTTGCTGGAAAACCAACTTCCTTTCGTAGTTCTGCAGGCCTTGATTAGCACTACCAGTGCTAGAGAAGGTGAATGGGAGGAAATGATTGAGAGTTTCATTGCCAGAGTGTACATAGATGGCAATGCAACGCAGAGCAAACGAACTTATAAGCATGAGAAAAAACAACCCCTTCATTTACTAGACCTTATAAGGAGAAGATTTGTCGGCCAATACACTCCTGCCGATGAACAAGTTAGCAGCAGCGGGGGCAAAATATACCAAGATGATGGTCCTGCGAACTCTCCCCTTGCTATCAACGTCTCCACTTGCCTCCTCAGGTTCCTGCATTCATTAGTTAGGTGACCGAAATTACTATAGAAAGCGCAATGTTTGGACTAATCTCTCTTTCGAGAGATTGTCTAATTGGTAGGGGAGAGCGAAACTTATCTTTGTTTTCTTGGTACAACCTAGCCAAGGTGACCTTGAGTAGAGTAACCAGTTCTTCTTCCCTCGGCCTCTTTTTTGCCTTCCAGGAGGTTTGACGCTGCGGCGGAGCTTGTTTCTGCCGGATCTTGGCTTTAGATTTCTCCTTTGTTGAGATAATTGACGTCTTTCTCGTATTAATTGCTTCTTCTTCCAAACACATGAAATCGTCGGCTCTCTTGTTCAGCTCATCCATGGTCTTCGGCGTATTCACCACCAGGCTTGTGTAAAATAGTGCCCCTCAGTTCATGGCCAGTTTGAATGCTTGAACTGCCATGAATGGATAACATTCCATTACCATGCTCTTGACAAGGTTGAACTTGGTGAGGAAAGCTTGGAGTTGTTCATCTTCGTACTGCTTCATTGTAAATAGGCTTGAAACATCTTTAGCCGAACGCTTATTCCCATAGTATTGGCTTATGAACTTGTCACACAAGTCTTGGAAGCTAGCGATTGACCCTTGGGCCAGATTCTTAAACCAATTGAGCGCTGGCCCGGCCAAACTTATAGGAAAATACTTGCACATCAGAGGATCAATTTTCGTGTTCAGCGCCATTTTTAACTGAATGTGGTAAATGTGATCGATCGGGTCAGTCGTTCCATCAAACAGAATGAAAACCGGCATGAAAAACTTCCTCAGATTCTGAGCATTCAAGATCCCGTCAGTGAATGGAGAGGCAACCATTCTTGCGGATGAACGGAGGGTTTCATTCTCCCTTGAAAACCGTAGGGAAATCTTTCGATCAACAGATCTTTTTTCCGAACTCCTGTAGTCATACGTTGCCATTGAGGGCCGGTAGGATGGATCAAATGATCTTTCCTTTGTGAATTCTCTCTGCCACGGTGACGTAGCTCTATGATGGCCAATCTCCATAGCTTCATCGCACCTCAATCTTCCCTGACATGGACCAAACGCTGCAGCTTCCTCTCGCATGGTATGCTCGTAATACGGATCCAAGTGGATAGATCCCTCTAGATCCTCCATCTAACGGACATTTGGAGGTAAATCGGCCGGCATGATCTCCTCGCGATGAAGATCCATGCGATTGTTTCCTTCTGGATCATCTTGATGAGCAGCATTGGGTGGCAAGACTCCCTCTCCTACTGGAGGTGGCCTTAGAATAGCCAGAGCCTCCCGACGCTCCATTCCAGCTCACAATTCTGCATTCTCTCTTCGCAGGGCTTTGATCATGCTCATCAATTCATCGAGCTTCGACTGCTGGCCATTCTCTAGTGGATTTGAGCTCTCACCTCCGATCATCATTTCTGATCGGAGCAAAGTCATTAACCGCAAATTTCTGATCAGATCTATGCTTCGCGAATGCGAGCGTACTAGATCTAGACTGAAACGAGCTGAATTCTGATCTCAATTGGCCGGATCTGAATCTCTCCTGCCGTGAGCTTGTCAAACTTAGCAATCTAAGCAAATTGCAACTGCGTAAACCAACTAGACAAATACAGATTACAATTGCGTAGATCGGATGCCAATCTCTCAAAATCAACTAGAACCAAAACTCTGCAAGACGAATCACAACCTCCCTGATCTGGATTCAACTTTCAGAGATCAAGCTTCTTCTTCACGAACTAGCTTTGATCGAATCAATCTTGATCAAATGCAGATCGATCCTCGTCGTTTCCCACGGACGGCGCCATTGAAGATGCAAGAAATTTCTCCCCTTAATTTGACAGAATATCTTTACACTTCAAGAATTTTCCATTCCCCTTTTCCCCTCTATTTTCAGTCTATTTATAGACTATTACAATTTTCTAGAAGCTTCCTAACTAACTACTTGCGCTGGGCTCGTTCTTCAGGCTTCTCTAGTCATGGGCCTGACTACTTTCAGGGGGCCTTCAGCGTCATTCTTCAATCTTGGGCCCGACTTGCGAAGACTTGGTTTGGACCAAGGTCACTTATCCAGCCCTTTTTTGGCATCCTCACAGACTTTTAAGCCGTTAATTTGAACAGTTGTGATCGTAATACATCGTAGTGTTTTTTATTTATTTTATGTATATATTATGTGGTTCATAATACGGAGCAAGACTGCTCCAAGTCAGTAGATTAGAATTAATAATTGTTAATCAGAATTAATAATTTGTTTTTCCCCTAATGTTTCTTGCCAAAATTGAAAGGTTTTTATGTAATTTGACCTATAACTTATCCACATCTCTATATTTACACAAAATAATAGTACTTGCTCTGAACAAGACTTTTAAGCTATTGATTGAACAAGTTGTGGTCGTAATAAATCGTTGTGTTTTTTTTATTTATTTTATGTATATATCATGTGGTTCATAATATGGAGATAGACTGCTCCAAGTCAATAGATCAGAATTAACAATGGTTAAAGTCAACTTAGAATGAAGTTTCATTTCCTAATAATGAGTTGTCATACGAGCTAGTCTAGTTTTCTTCTTTAAATTTCTGCTAGAATTCGATCGTGCTGCAACAATTAAGCTGGAAACCATAAATGGCCAAAAGTGATGATGATGAGTTGAGTAGCATTAATTTGGCAGAGGCTGGAAAAGAAGCTAGTCGTGAATTGGGTGTTGAAATTACAGAGCTAGCTGATAATGAGTTGAGCAGAATTAATTCGGCAGTGGTTGGAGAAGAAGCTGGTCGTGAATTGGGTGATGAGTGGATAATATCCATTGATGAAGAGAGACCCAATGCATCTTCATACAAGCCACTACAGAAGGTTCCACGAGAATTACGGGAGGAGGAGGAGGAGAATAAGGGATTTTTTAATCCTAAAGTGGTTTCAATCGGTCCTTATCACCGTGGCAAGCCTGAGTTCAAAGAAGCTGAGAAGTTGAAGAACATAGCGGCACGTGCATTCATAGCTGGCTGCCGCAATGGATTAAAACTCCGTGTAATCTATAACGAGATGCTAGAAGTGGTGAACGATTTGAGGAACTGCTACATTGAGGGCTCAACAGTTGCCTATGACGATGTAGCATTCGCCCGTATGATGCTCCTTGATGGCTGTTTTATGCTGCGCTTCATATCTTCCATCAATAGTCAAGAAATATTCTTTTTGGATGAGCTGATTAAGCATGTAGGTGTTGCTGGTTTCCGTGGGATAATTGCGGACACCAGTTTGCTGGAAAACCAACTTCCTTTCCTAGTTCTCCAGACCTTGATTAACAGTACTCAGGAAGAAGGCAAATGGGAGAAATTGATGGAGGAATTCATTGCCAGAATGTACATAGATGACAATGCAAAGTGGATGGAAAAAAAGTATAAGCATGAGAAAGAACAACCCCTTCATTTCCTACACCTTATAAGGAGAAGATTTATCGGCCAATACTCTCCGGCAGATGAAGAAGTTTACAGCAGAAGCGTCAAAATATACCAAGACGATGGTCCTGGTAGATTAGATGACCAACCCCGTCCACGTCGTTCCTTCAAAACGGTAATTCCCTGCTGGCCCAAAAGAAGGCATAGGAAGAGCAACCCACACAAGGATATTTATACCCACTCATTTCGTTCAGCCACACAACTTAAAGCAAAGCAAGGGGCATACATTTCAGGCCAAACACCACATTTTCATTGACGGACTTCACTCTCAGTTCTCGGTTTGGCTACGGACTGCTAACACTTCCTCAACTCACATTTGACTGGGGAACAAAATTATGTCTTCTAAACATGATGGCCCATGAGTTGGCTCCCGTGTCTTTCATAACAGATGCTGATGTTAAAATGGATGTATGCAGTTACATCCATTTTATGAATTCAGTCATAAATGGAGCTGAAGATGTGATCGAGCTGCGAACACATAACATCATTCATAACTTCTACAGCACTGATGAAGAAGTGGCAAAAGCATTCAACTCCGTGGCCATAGGGGGTAGATATCATTCCTTCGGCGGACCTACCAAAGATTTCAGTGATGCAATACAAAAGCATTACAATAGCAGGATGAAGACTTGGACGGCTCAACTATGGAACAATTATTTTAGCAATCCCTGGTCTGTTGTGGCTTTCTTTGCAGCAACTTTTGCACTGGTTCTGACTTTCATTCAGACATTTTTTCCTCATTAGCAAAATTAAAGGTAAATTCAGAATTAATTTATTATTAATTAACCCCAAATAAATGAATTTATTTTTGAGTAAACTTGATTTATATATATATATATATACTCCTTGTAGCAGGTTCAAGGACGACATAGGAGCTGGATGGATTCATCAATTGATCAACTGATCTGTTGCGATACTCCTGTTTGTCAAATAATAGGATCCTCCAAGTTTCAAGGGCTGCCAACAAGTTAATCATGTGTGTACGTGCTTAAAAGGCAAAAACTCATTTGTTAAGTTTTTTTTTTTTTTTTTTTTTTTTTTTTTTTTTTTTTTTTTTTTTTCAATCTTAGCTACTCTGCTGCTTTTTGTGAGTTTATCTTTAATGATGATTCAATAAAGAAGTGTGTGTTGCCATATGAGAGCTGCATCCTTTCTTTATATATATATATATATATATATATATTCTTGAATACTTTGCAGCTATATATATAAGCATTTGGAATCAAAACTTTCGGATTTCATAATGTGTCCACTTGGGACACCAACAGAACAAGTCCATTCATCATAAATCCGAGAATTAATGAAGCAAACTACTGGGCGACATGGATGTGCACTTAGATCTTTTATCTAGGATGTTTAGTGACAGTTAGATCTTTTATCTAGGATGTTTAGTGATCCATTCGTTTCCAATTGTTTTGTACATTTTTTGTTTGCCACTTGATTAAGACAATGCTATTGCGTATATGGTATCCAGACAATCCCTAGAAATAAGAGAGCGTGCACCTCCTCCTGTATATTTGTGATTATTGACCCCAAATCCCTTCATTTTATTTCCATCCATCCAAACTTATATAACTCCACAAAAACATGGCCAGGCTTTGTTCTTGCCCAACAATTTCATCTTGCTTGCCCGTTCTTCCTCCTCTAGCTGCTTCTTCCTTTGTATGAAGCTCCATAGTTCGCTATATCGGCTGATTCGTAACCATTTTTCAACGGTATGATACAGTTACACCCCTCCATGAACCTACCGATTCAACTGATTTACACCGCAACCGACTGCAAAACATGGTATGAGCTCTTCTTTTTGTCTTTACCTCTTCTAGTTCCTTGTAACGTTCCTCCTCCCTTCTCTGCTGCTCTGAAGCTTCCCTTCTCTGAGCTTCCTCCACCCTCCTCCAGTTTTCTTCAATCATCCTTTCCAGCTCTTCGTTCTCTCTTCAAGCTTGTTCCTGTATGGAAAAACACAAATCAAGTTGTAGCCAGATTGCAGGAGAATCAGGAATTGTCTTTGCTTTGGTATATTTTCTGCTCACAGCGACAAAATAGAGGAGATACGCGGGCCGGGGGGGGGGGGGGGGGGGGGGTGGGTCCGGCCGGCTAAAAACTGGTCTTTGCACATGGAACATAGAAGCTTATGGTTATTATGCCAGAATTAAGCTCTTTCAACAAGTATATCACAAAGAAGATTGAGCCAAGCCTGTGCAAAAGACACCACCTCCTATGAAATCTCAGAGCAATGAAGAGGGCAATTAATTAATAGCATCATGAAAGGAATACAAGGATTTTCCATGCATTTTCCTAACATTGAACATCTAGTTTAAACTAATTTATTTTCAGTTTACTTCTTGCAAATAGATGTAATTATCAACCCAAAAAGCCATGACACTACATTGAACATCTAGTTTAAACTAAAACACCCTTACTGATGGCTAATTGACTGAAATTGATAGCCAATTGCTAGAATAGAAACAAAATATAAGAGAAAAAGAATACTTGCAAAAGCATTTGATTTGAAAGGGTGTCAGAGCATCTTGCATTTCATGCAATTATAAGGCTCGACAGAAGGGACGTAGTCTATAGTAGGACTTCCTTTAGGATACTTGCCTCCTTTTCTCTTGCCTCAATGAAAGCAGCTTATTTCTATTTCTCAAGTTGAGCTGCAACATCAACAAGAAGTTTCTTCCGACCTTCCTCCAATCACCTCTGTATTTCCGGTTCATCTCCAAAGAATTCAAGCTCTCTTCAACTTTTTCTTATATTGCTTCTTCCACTCTCCTTGTAGTTTCTTCTTCTAACAGTTTCAATTCTGCCTCCTGTTGACGCCTGATAGAACAGAAGGAAAATTAAAGTAGGATATGGCCACCAATGTAAGAAGAAGAGCATACATATATATATATATATATATATATAGATTGTCAGAAGTGAGGCTGAATTCCATTGAAAGATAGAAAGATCAATACAATGGATAAAGATAGGGTATTCCCTCCGTGTACATCAACAGACTAAGCCAAGTGAAAAAAAAACTACTTCCAAAAAACATGGAAGCAAATTGACATAGCATATTTGCTTCCAGACAAATATTTAAAGCCAGAAACAGTAGAATTAAAATGGCAGTTGACATAGGAAGCTTCCCCCTATATTCTCTCTTGTTGCGTTTCTAACGACAAACTAACCTTCATGTCGACAAAGCCACTAAACATATGCTTATGCTTTAATACATGCTTATGCTTTTGAAGGCATAACTCTAATGGATTCCTGATCCAAACAAATGAGTTTCAAAACTGTTGAATAGTAAATAAACAAGGCACCCAATTTCATCATCAAATATAAAAATTTGAACAATAGCAGTATCTTCCTTCAAAAAATCCTGTACAGAAGAATGTCAAGTAACATGTTGCAATTTTAAAACTAATCACCGAAATACTTCAGTTCTTATATTAACATAGAATTTTGATAAAACAGAACTCTAAATTGTTTTAAATATATAGAAATGGCCATAGTTTATGCATATTAAATTTAGTGTCACTGCATGATTATAAAAGAGCCAGTAATTTTATGATTGCAAAAAATAATACAGAAAATTGCAATTTGAGCGGGATGCAAACAGGCTGTAGCTTGACCCATGCCCAAAACAAAAGCCTTGGAAAACTAGCACAGACCCAGACTAACCCAAGTTCAGCCAGGACTCAGTTCTTTCCAGAGGCCCAGACTAACTCAAGTTTGGGCACTAAAATTTATAATTAAAATAATATAACCTTAACATATTGTTCTATTTACTATATGAGGTCCAAAACAATGGGTTTAATGGAGGAGTGTGTCTGGTATAATGTGTCGGCGTATCCCACTGAGATTGAAGGAAAATCTTATAAAACAGTTGTTAGACTAGCCATTCTTCAAGGGACAGAATGTTGGCAAAATTAAGAAACAAAATATACATAAAGTGAGTATGGCCGAAATGTGGATGTTAATATGGATGTGATGCAGGACAAGAAAAGATATAATTAAAAATGAACACATTGATGAAATTGTTGAAATAACACCAATTGACATTGATAGATTTTGTAATACCCCTAATTTTAAAAGGATAGTCTCGGTATTTATTTATTTGTTTTAATTGTATTTTTAATTATTTAATTGACTATTTGACTAATTGCTTATGTGTTTAATTGAATTAGGTATTACTTGATTATTTGATTGTGTGTCTATGTATTATTTGTACTTGTCTATGTGTTAATTGTTTAATTAGATTATGTGCTTAAATGGTGCTTTGATTAATTGTAAATTAAATGTTTTCTTTTTTTTTATTTTTCTTTTATGGTTATGATTAGTAGTAATGAGCCAACCAATTGGGTCCCATGGACTACTTGGATAGGAAGTTGGATGTGTATGAATTATTACCTATGAATAGTTGTGTATGTATATATATATATACATATTATATACATATATAAAAAGGAAAGTAATTTATTAATTACTTTTATGATAACTTGGGTAATAATATTTAATCTGATGTATATGTTTTTATATTTAAATAATAAAAATATACATAGATATATATAGATTTGATACGTTTTATATTTTAAGTTACTTTATAATATTATGGTAACTTAAGTATTATTGGATAATCCATTAATAAATAATGGAATGTGTTTAATTTATTTATTTAATAAACATATACATAAATTATATACGTAACATATTTTACTTACCTTTTTAATATATATAAAAGGGAAAGTAATTTATTAATTACTTTTATGGAAACTTGGGTAGTAATATTTAATTTGATGTATATGTTTTATATTTAAATAATAATATTTAAGTTACTTTATAATACTATAGTAACTTAAGTATTATTAGATAATCCATTAATAAATAATGGGATGTGTATAATTTATTTATTTAATAAAAATATACATAAATTATATACGTAACATATTTTACTTACCTTTTTAATATTTTAATATTTATTTTTTTTAAGTTGACTTGGATTGGGAAAAAGGGTTAGAAATTATTTTATTTAGCCTATAAATATATAGCCATAGGTGGTAAAAGGGAGCTAGAAATATTCACGTGATATATTCTAGAGAGAGAGAGTTAGAGAGGGAAGGAGGAAAATGAAGGAAGGAGGAAAAAAAACCATGTAGAGAGAAGATCAAGGAAGAAAAAGTTTAACTTTCGCTCCGAAAGTTTAAGGCAAGTTCTTCTTCTATCTCTTTCCCTTTAATTCGTGTTTCTGTACATGCCTAAGAAATTCCAGGATTTATTAAATACATAAAATTAAATAATTATGCATGTTTAATTGGATTAGAACATAGGTTTTATGAATTTGGTTCATATCTGTTCTTGTGTTATGAATTGATAAATGCATGAATTTGATTTGATTTCCGGTGTGAATTTTTACATGTTTAAATTATATATTTTTCATACCTGTGGAATGATGGAACGTAGAAACATGCCTAGGATTCCTGAACATTAAATAGGAACTAGGTTTGGGTTTAAATAAATTTAAATAGACTCAATCATAATGATGCTTGCTATTTGAATGTTTTAAACAAACGAATGAATTTAATCTTTTAATATGTTTTAGCAATTAAGATTAAATGTGTAGAATGAATTGGATATGGAAAATACTTATTTGACGGTATAATAAAATATCATCATATATATAAGATTCAGTTTATGTAGGACATATGATATAGGAAGCTTAAACAAATAATAAGTCATTCCTATTTTGTGATAACTTGATATCATATTATCATAGTTATTTCTGAATTGTTTGATGTATTTCCTTAATTGTTACATTAATTGTTGGATTGTGTGGTTTAATGCACCGGTATGGGACGGTGGCATTCTAGGGACGAATTAACTTATCAGTTAAATCCTACCTATTTTATATAAGGGAATGGATTAACTAAAATGTTAAGTCCTACTTATATTCAAGTCAGGTCAGTTGAACAAGTTGAATGACTTATGGAAAATTAATTTATTATATAAGGGAATGAATTAACTAAAATGTTAAGTCCTACTTATATTTAAGTCAGGTCAGCTGAACAAGTTGAATGACTTATTGAGGATTAATTTATACTGAATAGGATGGTTACTAGATTTTATATATATAAGTATGGTGCCGTGATATGAGCTTAAGTCTCAGGATCAGTGGTTAGGGTGCTTATATCGTCAAGGATGTGTAGCTAGATATAGTGTAGTTGTGTACCCAGATAGGTCTAGGTACTCATGCCCACTATATATGCGTTTTGCATGTTGCCTACTATTCAGGTTGAGACAACTATATAGTCTAGTGAGGTTCCTTTAGTGTGTATATATATATATATATACGGACTACTAGTTACTGTTGGATTGACTAGGATGTATACGTGTATCGGATCTCTACTTGGACTATAGTAGAATAGAACTTGTTTGTGGGCCTAACACACCATTATTTTTCAGGTGTTCGTCAGGAGTAGAGGTTGTTCGTGCTGAGCGGGGATCAGTTTACTTCATTCTTCCGATGCTACATAGGAGTTTCTTTATGATTCAGTTTCCTGATTTAGACAATTATTACTGTCATTTGTTTAGTTTGGATTTTCTAGGGGTCCATACAGTATGGATTCCCGAGTTGTATTTTGGAGGATCAGTTGTATCAGAAGAGTTTATTAATTAATGGAAATATATTTTGAGGTTTATTATTAGATTATCATTTTAGTTTCTTGTTAGCATTTTATTTATTCTTCTTTATTCTTTTGTACTCTGTGTTCGTTTATTGCCGATTTTGTTTTTGATATCCTCGGATATTCGGGCGTGGGCCTGGCCAACCCGCATTCGGAAATCCGAGGGTATCACAGTTGGTATCAGAGCACTCCAGGTTCAAGTGTCCTTAAGAGTGTCTTTCGTTATGTGACTTCCGCGTTGCGTCTCTTAAAACTTAGAGCTCGTATTAGGATTCGTTGTACTCTATTTACGGTTTGTTAGGAGGAGCTGATGTTAATTATATTCTGTAGTCATAGAATGGTTAGCACTAGGAAAAGGATGGGTTCAAGGCGAAAGCGATAAAGACACAAATGAGTAAAGGAGTACGTTATCGATTTCGTTGCCAGAAGGCAGAGTTAGGGATCGATGGTTTAGGTCCATTTGGCGTTACTTTAAAAGTATAAGCCAAGGAAGGATTTAGGTGTACGTGATAGGTCACCGCATATTGGGGCCAACACGACTTCAATTGATCTCAAAAAGGAGACAAGCGAGGAGTAGGAGCCGAAGAGGAGATTTATGTGCATCCAATAAAGAGGGTACTAAATCTTGAAGATGGATGATCGCGTGAGGTGATCTGAATTACTAATAGTATAGCGAATGTTATTAGTAGAATTGGGATTGATCAATCTACAAATAATTAAACTTTCTTATCATCTCTAAAAGAGGTATATAAGAAGTATTGTTCAGGAGTTTGGGGATCGGATGTGTTCTTATCAGAATGAAATACATAATTTTTAAATTACATACAAGAGGGCATTAGTATTATGTTGTGACGTTCTAATTCGCTTTAAAAAGCCAAGTTAGACAGTCTACATTCCGCATATAAGAAGGATGAGAGTTAAGCCCTTGGTATTTACTTAGGCAAATATTTGTGTTTTTAAGCTATATTTAAAAGGATATGTTTCGAGATTGGATAATTATTTATGAAACTATAAAAGGAAATTTTGAAAAAATCTAATAAGGTTGATTTCAAATGAGACTTTCTTTTTAAAAAAAAACGATATCCTAAGTAGGAGTATATCTTGTTTTATTGTGTTTATCATACGTGTTTTAATTTTTTTTTGTTAATTACTCGAGATTTGGTATGTGATTTAGTTGGGAACACAAGTGTATGATCAGCTAACTATTGTTTTAATAACATGGACTAATAGCGCTATTTACGCTAGATTTGTGAGCATACGGTCATAGGATTTGATAGATACACATAAATCTAGCCAATCTATTAGACCTGGACATGTGTCATTATGGTGTGTTTTGGGATGGGATAATTAAACCATCACTACGAGTCAAACAATCTAGAACGATTAGTTTGATATACTTTACGTTAGGTATGGATTCGTATCATATTACAACGCCATGATATTGGTGGTTGTTAATGTTTCGGTATGCGTGAGGTAGTGGTAAATAAAGATCATTGTAACGCCATGATGATATATCAAAGGTGCTGGATTTGTTGGACATCTTCTTGAAAATTTCAGAAGTTGTTACCAAGTCGGAAGAAGGATTTAGTACTGGATTAAGTACTTATTGAAATGACACCGAGTGAGAATATAAGACTGAATAAATATTCATCAATAAATTCTTAATCAAGAATTTATTCAAGAGGGTGTGTCATTAGGAGAAATTTGCCAGTGTTGCACATGGAGGAGGAAATTAAGTCTCTTCATTTCCATAAATAATATGGAATTATTTTTTTTAGTCACAATTTGCAACAATTAGCTGTTACAAGGAAATTAATGACTTATGTAGAGGATGGAAAGATTTCATATTCTTTTGAAGTTAGACAAAGAAGTTAGATTGTCATTAACTTGTCTTAAAAAAGCAGGGTGTGTCAAAGACAAGATGGTGAGACCAAACACTTATATAAAGATGAGGTGCATGGTATGTAAGGAAATGTCGTAGTTTGTTGACTTTTGTTGAGTTAAAGTCATAGTTGACTATTGATAAATGGAATTACCGATTGACTTTCAATATCGGTAAGTTTATCACAGATCAGTGGTGGATAGATTTAGTTGCAGAATTCGCTTTTGAAGATGCTCCAATTTAAACAATGGGTACAGACGAAAACTGGTGGTACCAGATTAACAGTACTTTCTGTAAACAAATTGGATGGAGGATGTAAGGACTAAGTTTCACAACTCTTAGTTCTTTATTTATTCTAGTGGAAATATGATGCTTCACGGTATGAAGCAGACGTTTGGAGGACAGGCAGGAGGGGGGACATAGTGATTTTGTCTCCCATTGTAATTTTTATAAGATAGTCGAGATGGACCATCAGAGATCACTAGATCATTTACAGCTATTCCCTATATTGAAGTGGAAATGAGAGAGCATTTTCCACGGATTTAGTTGAGGGATTGCTGACTTCGCACAAGGGTCATGATTCTGGACGGGATATTGGTTGACTGATAAGTTAGGTCAGCTTAGTTCTTGTCTATTTCGAACTGGTAGGACTTTAGTTCATACGAATAGAATAGATCAAGAGACGGTTTAGATAGATAGAAGTGGTAATTCACACTTTATATCAAGTTTCGTCTGGTGGAAGCAATTATGGAAGTGGATGCTCTTAACAACCGATAAGATATTTAAATCTTTCGGTTCATTGATGAGTTATCAGTTGAATGTATAGCAGGTGTAACAATAACACTTGTTATTACCAAGGTAGTTCAGCAGGTCAATTTAAAATATTGGAGCTGACCCTAGAGAAGGAGTTTAAGGTACTGGAGGAGAGTTAGTAGTTTCTGTAAATAGTGATATGACGGTCGGGCGACTGAGATGGAAATTTATAATTTTTCTTGGTACACCCAAATGGTTAGAAGGTACATCACGACATTAAATGTCAGTTTTGGTGAATAGGTACGGATAGAGACGTGTATATAATTGCCCCAAGTTTAAAACCTGCTACAAAGGTGGAAAGTTGATCATCGAATATCATAGGAATCTTTAGCCACTTCCTATAACAAATATGGAAGTTAAACTAAATTGGAGTGACGGTCGGTGGGAAGGATCGACATTGATTTGGAATTTCAATTTTTCATATGGAATCCGAGTGGTGGATTAAGAAAGATTGCTTGAGGACATAAATTTGAGTGATGCTTATTTTAGAACTTCATAGTAGTTCTATAGTTCAGTGATAGTGGTGTTATAGCATGTGGATGTCCATATTAGTAGATGCACAGTGCTATTTCGAATGAGCTTTATGAAGATTTTGGAGCAGCAGCTCTGCTTCATATATATAGACAGAAGAATTAATCGATAGATTAAATTAGACCATACAGGATATGTTTGAGGCGTATATCCTAGATTTTCATGGACAGTTGGAAGTATTTACTTCACTTGTCAAAATTTTGTCTGTGATATTGTTGGCACAAGGAGGTTAGTGTGACAACTTTGGAGGTTTTGTATCTTTCACAATGCATACCTCTCATTTGTTGGTTGGAAATAGAAGTAAGGGTTGTACAATCAGACCTCAACTTCATTTAAAAATATGCCGGAAAGAGATACTTCCCTTTGTATTGAACTGTGCACGGTTGAGAGGCGACAGTGGGATGTTGTAAATAGTTGAACTCGTATACTAGAGTTTTTCTATCAGGGAGTAGTTTGCTCATTCTGTTTTCCATGTAGGAAGAACAGCGATTTTTGGAGAAATGTTAATTTTACTTATTATATTGACTTTTAGAGGATTGTGTTTCGCAATTGAGGCAGTCGCCTCTAAATTAGCGTTACCAAATTATTAGCGCTGGGTGCATAAGAGTTTGTGCGTATATTCTATGGCACTTGGAGGTATGTAGATCATTCTCTTGTCGACATGGGAGGATTACGTTGATACAACATACGCATCGTATGATTATTGTGTTTCTTAAAATATAGGAACCCTGTATACCACTTGGTATATTGGAGTTAAGTGGAGCCCTTATAGTGAGGTTGCGTTTACTTGGGAATATGAGGATGTTTTTCGCTCACAGTTTCCAAGCATAATGGAAGAAAGTAAGGGCGAATTCTGAGGATGGAATTCCTTTTGTTAGGGAGGAAGAATGTAATATCCTAATTTTAAAAGGATAGTCTCGGTATTTATTTATTTGTTTTAATAGTATTTTTAATTTTTTAATTGATTATTTGACTAATTGCTTATGTGTTTAATTGAATTAGGTATTACTTGATTATTTGATTATGTGTCTATGTATTATTTGTACTTATCTATATGTTAATTGTTTAATTAAATTATGTGTTTAAATGGTGTTTTGATTAATTGTAAATTAAATGTTTTCTTTTCTTTTATTATTTTCTTTTATTTTTCTTTTATGGTTATGGTTAGTAGTAATGGGCCAACCAATTGGGTCCCATGGATTACTTAGATAGGAGGTTGGATGTGTATGGATTATTAACTATAGATAGTTGTGTATGTATATATATAGATATATATATATTATATACATATATAAAAAAGAAAGTAATTTATTAATTACTTTTATGATAACTTGGATAATAATATTTAATCTGATGTATATGTTTTATATTTAAATAATAAAAATATACACAGATATATATAGATTTGATACGTGTTATGTTTTAAGTTACTTTATAATATTATGGTAACTTAAGTATTATTAGATAATCCATTAATAAATAATGGAATGTGTATAATTTATTTATTTAATAAACATATACATAAATTATATACGTAACATATTTTACTTACCTTTTTAATATATATAAAAGGGAAAGTAATCTATTAATTACTTTTATGGTAATTTGGATAGTAATATTTAATTTGATGTATATGTTTTATATTTAAATAATAATATTTAATACGTGTTATGTTTTAAGTTATTTTATAATATTACGGTAACTTAAGTATTATTAGATAATCCATTAATAAATAATGAGATGTGTATAATTTATTTATTTAATAAAGATATACATAAATTATATA